TCTTTATTGATTTTCTGCCTGTTGGATCTGTCTGTTACTGATAAGGGATCTTGATGTCCCCAACTGTCATAGTGGACTCCTTTTCTCCTTGTAGTTGTATCCATTTTTAACTTGGGTATTTTGGTGTTATGTTTTTGGGCATATACACATTAAGGATTATTATGTCTTGGAGAATTAACTATTTTATAATTTTCTCTGATAATTTTTGTTGTTCTGAAGTCTGCTTTTGAAAGTAATATAGCTACTGCAGCTTTCTTTTGATCTAGTGTTAGCATGGTATGTCTTTACCACTTTAACCCACTTTAACCCATCTGTGTCTGTATTTAAAGTGAGTTTCTTTTAGACAACATACAGTGGGATCTTGTTTTTATGTTCACCCTGACAGTCTCTTTTAATAGGTGTATTTCAGCCATTGATGTCTAAAGTGATAATTGGTACAGTTGGAGTAATACTTACTATATCTGTTACTATTTTCTTTTGATTGTCCTCTTTGCTTTCCACTCTTTGGCCTTCTGGTATTAATTGAGCATCTTATATTCTGTTTTTTCTCAGTATAACATCCTCATTTAGCAAGTCTGTGATACTTTTAAAACTTTTTTTTAGTGGTTGCACTCAGGTTTGTGCTAACAGGTTTGTGATACTAACCAACCTTTCTTTCAAATCATGCTGTTCTACTTTACATGTAGTACAAGTACCTTATAACAAGGTATTCCCAGTTCTTCCCTCCTGTCCCTTGTAACCTTGCTGTCATTTACTTTACTAATCTGTAAGGTGTAATCACTGGATGTATTGTGACTCCTATTTTGAGTAAACTAGTAGCTGTTAGATCTGTTAAGAATAATAGGAAAAGATGTTATTTTACTTTTATTCTTGTCTAACATTCCTCCTTTCTTTATCTAGATCCAAGTTTCTGACCTATATAATTTTCCTTCTTTCTGACAATCTTTTAATATTTCTTGCAAGACAGGTTCCCTCAATTTATGTTTGCTGAGGATCTCTTTTATTTCTCATTCAGTTTTGAAGGTAATTTCACTGAATACAGAATTCTAGGTATATGGATTTTTAACTTTTTTTTAAGGTTTTGTTTTTGTTTTTGTTTTTGTTTTTGTTTTGGGTAGTAATCTTTACACCCAGTGTGGGACTTGTACTCACAACTTCAAGATCACAACTTCTGACTTAGCCAACCAGGGACCCCTGAACTCTTAATTATTTCACTCTACTTCTCTTGTTTGCATGGTTCCTGAAGAGAAGTCTGATATAAATTATGAAATAATGATTTATAAATTTATATAATACAAATTATAAATTTTTCCTTACTCATTGTCCCATACTTCTTGGATATCTTGTTTTTTTCAAGTATTTTTTTTGTTTTTGCCTTTCAGTTTTGGAAGTTTCTACTGACATTTCTTCAAGCTCATTTGCTGGTTTGTTTTGTTTTGTCCAGCCTAATAATAAGCCTATTGAAGGCATTTTTGCATTTTAGTGGTTTTGATTTATAGCATTTCCTTTTGACTCTCTGCTTATGTTATATACATTCGTTCTTGCATGTTGTCTGCTTTTTCCATTAGATTCCTTAGCATAATTTAAAAAAGATTTATTTGTGTATTTGAGAGAGAGAGAGTGTGTGTGTGTGTGTGTGTGTGTGAGAGAGAGAGAGGTGCGAGCAGGAGTGGGGGGAGGGGCAGAGGGAGAGAGCCTTTACGCTGACTCCCCTGCTGAGCATGGAGCTCGATACCACCACCCATGAGATACCATGACCCATGAGATCATGGTATGAGCCAAAACCAAGAGTTGGTCACTCAACCTGTTGAGGCACCCAGGCACCCAAAAATCACTTACTGTATTAAATTCCTGGTCTGATAATTCCCATATCCCTGCTTTACCTGAGTATGGTTCTGATGCTTGCTGTCTCTTCAAACTGTGCTTTTAATATGCCTTGTAATTTTTTTTGAAAGCTGGACATGATGGTACTAGGCAAAAGGAGCTGAGAGAAATATGCCTTTAGACTGAGGTTGTTATCCACCTAGAGGAGACTCATCTCTGTTACTCTAGGCAATTGCTATAGGTGGCAGAGGCTGGGATTTCCTCTGGTGTCTTTGGTTTTGTCTCCCATGGTGTTTTGGGTTTTCCTAGTTACTTCTTAAAATCTTAAAAAAATGAAGTTTTTTTCAGTTTCTTTTATACAGGAGCTCTACTGATGCAACAGCAAGGAAGTAGGGGAATCGGAAGTGCTAATCATAGACTTAAGATTACTTTTTTAATTTTTTAACCTCTTAGTGTGTCTGTGCCCTAGGACTATTTTAGACACTATATTTTTTAGTTCTAGAATGTCCTTTAGGGGTGCCTGGGTGGTTCAGTCGGTTAAGCAGCTGACTTTGGCTCCGGTCAAGATCTTGGGGCCATGGAATCAAGCCCCTAAGCCCCCCCCTCATGCTCACTTGCTCTCTCTCAAATAAATAAAATATTTTTAAAAATTATTTCTCCTTTGAGATTTTTATTCTTCATGAGCAAATTGCATCCATTAGCATTTTATAATAATGGCTTTAAAATCTTCGCTAAATTGAGGGGCTCTTGGGTGGCTCAGTCAGTTGAGTGTCTGCCTTCAGCTCAGGTCATGATCCCACAGTCCTGGGATCGAGCCCCACAGCGGGCTCCCTGCTCAGCGAAGAACCTGCTTCTCTTGCTCCCTCTGCTGCTCCCCCTGCTTGTGTGCTCGTTCTCTCTCTCTATCAAATAAATAAAATCGTTAAAAAAATTTAGAATTAAAATAAAATCTGTGCTAAATCGAAAGTATCACATCTTACAGTTCTCCATTTAATTGCTTTTTGAGCATTGTTTTGTTTTCCTATTTCTTTATAGGTCTGCTAAATTTGGATTGTATTCTGGACATTTTAAATGGTACCTTGCAGAGCCTCTGTTGTGTGTTATATTCCTCCAGAGAATGTTGATTTTTTTTTTTTTAGTAGATTTGTTTTAGCAGATACTTAATTTAATTGGTTCAACTGCAAACTCTACTCATCTTTCACAGAAGTGCAGCTAAAATATTACATTTTTTTCTTTAGCTGCTTTGCCCACAGCCTATCTTGTACATACATAGTTCTGGTAATCAGCCTGAAATTCGAGTAGAGTTTATTTATTTATTTTTAATATTTGAGAGAGAGAGTGAGCACACAAGTCTGGGGGGGGGCGGAGCAGAGGGAGAGTCAGACTCCCTGCTGAGCATGGAGCCCAACTGGGGGCTCCATCCCAGGACCCTGACATCATGACCTGAGCCCAAGGCAGCCGCTTAAGACCAACTGAGCCACCCAGGTGCCCCTTGAGTAGAGTTTATATACCAATTTGGGATTTCCTCCTTTGGCTTTCTCCATTTCAGCATTTATCCCCCTTTTCTAGGTGCTATGGTTGTCTTGAACTCTGTCCTCTGATTCTTCAAGCACCAAAACTGTAGTTTTCTGTTTCAGCCAAACTTCTCTCCTCTGGCAGCCACTGGGGCCTCCCCTCAGGCCAAATGCTGTGAATAAAAACTCACTTAGGGTTTTCCTATCTTCTAAGTATTGATGTTCTCTCCAGTTTTTCTTTATTTCTGGTCACTTTACAGTGCCTTCAGGTAGTAGTGTTGTAATATTTTGCCCAGGGTTTATAGTCACCATCAGTGGGAGAATTGGTCTAAGAGGAACTGTTCAGCTGATACTGGGTAGTGGAAATTCTCCATGTTAGCAGTGAAAGTTGGAATTACAATATTAGAATAACAAGTATTTATATAGTACTTCTTTGTCATAAAAACACTTTAGATTATCTGATCCATCATGATTGTTAATGATATAGTAGGCAAAAGACTAATGCGTAGATGTTGCTACATTTAGTGGTAAGAATCTGGTCCGGAAGTGAATTTGGACTCTAAATTGAGTATAGTATGTATAGCGCAACGTGGTAACTAAAGCAAAAAGTTGGGGAGGAAGATAGTAGTGAAAACTTTAGGTATGGAATGAAAAGCAGAATTTTGTGCCTTTGAGATGAGACTGTCACAGTTTGTAATTTTTATTTTTTTATTTTTATTTTTTAAAGATTTTATTTATTTGAGAGAGAGAATGAGAGAGAGAGAGAGAGCATGAGAGGAGGGAGGGTCAGAGGGAGAAGCAGACACCCTGTGAGCAGGGAGCCCGATGTGGGACTCCATCCCGGGACTCCAGGATCATGACCTGAGCTGAAGGCAGTCGCTGAACGAACTGAGCCACCCAGGTGCCCCAGTTTGTAATTTTTTAAAAACTTAATTAGTTTTAGTTATTTAGTTTGTTTATTTACTACACTGTAAGCTTCTGAAGAGAGCAACCATGTTTTTGTATGCCCAGCTTTTAGCCCAGTGTCCAACATGTGTTAGATGTCCATATTTGTTGAGGAATGAATGAAAACATACACACACACACACACACACGGGTACCAAGGAGTGCAAGTAATAGTTATAAAAATCTATTATAGTCAGTCTTAAACTCTTTAGTACAGTTGAGGTTTTTATTAACCTAGATTTTGAGGGATGTGATAAGTGGGAGTTGAAAGTTAATGTGGGAATGTTCCAAACTGGGAGGAGGAGGGGAGTGGCAAGAAGATTTGGGAAAATTAGTAAAATAATATTGGTAAGAGTTGTTAACTACTTTGTATATTAGCAATGAAAAAAATTTTTTATAAATACGGAGAAAGCTACAAGATACTTGGGAAAATATATTTAAGGACTTAAGTCTAGGCAGATAGATAGTATGGAGTCCCAGAAAATACACAGAAAAAGAATAATACGATGAGAGCAGTTTGAAAGGGATGATTCAAGCAGGTCTTGAGTAGTAAGACATCTCAGCATGGAGGTAAATGATGAAAAGCATTCAGTGATTTTCATTCCTTCTGTGTTTCAGTATTCTAACATCCTAAGAGGATGAGGGAGGGAGTTAAAAGGAAGTATTTATAGGCTATTATAATCAGATTCTTTGTAATAAAATTTTCTTGTTCCATAGCTTTTGGATAAGCACAAGAATACAGAAAGCATGGTTGAGCTTCTGGACTTGTATCAGATGGAGGATGAAGCCTATAGCAGCCTTGCAGAAGCCACAACTGAACTGTATCAGTATTTACTACAGCCATTCCGAGACATGAGAGAACTTGCCATGCTACGGAGACAACAGATCAAGGTATTTTTTTTTTTTTTTTAAACCTTCATAGTTCCCTGCCTGTTTCATAGTTCTCAGCCTGGCTGGCCGTAGAGGAGCTTTGTGCCCATAGAGGAGCTTTTTAAAAATGCAGATACCTGGTCCTTTCTCCCCAAAGATTCTATTTTGGTCGATTAAGATTGCATAGAGCCTGAGAACCTCATTTTAGAGTATCTCAAAGGGGATTCTGTTGAGTAGGCAGGGATAGGAAGAGCCTAGAAAGGTAAGTTGTAGATGCATAGAGAAATCTACAGGCTGCAGGGAGCCTGATACGGGGCTTGACCCCAGGGTCATGACCTGAACCAAAGGCAGACCCTTAACCACCTGAGCCACCCAGGTGCCCCTATCCTAAGGGATCTTAAAAAAACCTGTTGAAAATAATATGTGAATTAGGTACAAGGTTAATGTTAAAAATTCAGTTGCATTTTCTGTCTTTTAGAAATGAAAATTATAGAAACTTTAAAATACCATTATAAGTATCTCTGAACATGAACTGTTTAGAAATAAATTTTACAAAGTATATGAAAGTTCTGTATACTGAAAATTATAAAACGTTGCTGAGAGACAGTAAGTGTACCTTAAGAAATGGGGAGATCATGATAATAGCTTGGAAGACTCAGTAATGTTTAGATGTCAGTTTTCAGTTGATCTGTAGATTCAAATTAAAATTCTAGTAGGTTTTTCCCTCCAGAAACTGACAAGCGAATTATAAATTTTTATGGAAAGGCAAAGGAGGGCTTTAACAATTTTGAAAAAGATAAAATTTGAAGTCAGGTAATAAGTCCTCCTTACTAAAAAACTAGAGAAATCCAGACATTGTACTATTGGCCTAGGATAGAATTGTAAATCAACAGAATAGAATAGAATCCAGAAGTACATGAGTGGTTATATAAGTTTTTCACGAAGGTGACAGAGCAGTTCAGTGGGAGAAAGAATTTCCAAGAAATGGTACCAGAACAACTGCAGACCCACATTAAAAAAATTGATCTCATATGTGCTTGGCTGAGGAGCCAATGGGGCGAAGCTACCATCTGTGGGATTATGACTGAATGCCTGTAAGTCAGAATCCTGCCCAGGCAGACTGATAAGGCAGCGCCACAGAGCCTTGGTTGGCCTCGGATAGTGGGTCCCCTGCCTCCCTGCCGGCGGGCCTCCGTGTGTCATGACTGGGGTCTGGTGTGGAGAGCCCCTGTCCCAGGAAAGGGGGCTGCCTCGTCGCCTGTGACGCAACGCACGTTCGTGGGGAACCTGGTGCCAAACCATTCGTAGACGACCTGCTTCTGGGTTGGGGTTTGTATGTAGCAGAGCAGCTCCCTTGCTGCAATCTATTGAAATTCAGCCTTCGACACAAGGGTTTGTTAAAAAACAAAGAATTTTTAAAAATTTTAAAAAAGGAAAATTAAGGGGGAAAAACACAACAAACCATGTACAAAAATTAACTTGAAATCCATCTTAGACCTCAACAGGATTTCATGTTCTAAAACGTGCATAAGAGGGGCGCCTGGGTGGCTCAGTAGGTTAAGCGTCAACCTCTTGATTTTGACTCGGGTCATGAGATCGAGCCCTGCATTGGCTCGGTGCTGGGTGTGGAGCTTGCTTAAGATCTTTCCCTCTCCCCACCACCACTCCCCCAGTTCCCTCTTAAAACAAAATGGAAAACTTATATAAGAAAACATAGGAAGTTTTCACAATTTTGGGAAAGAAAAGGTAAAGGCTTTTTAGGTAGGATGCAGAAAACTTGAGCCATAAACTTTAAAAATTTTTTTTGATAAGTTGGACTTGACCAAAATTAAACACTTAATTTTTGAAAGATTGTTAAGAAATAGAAGGCAAGCGCACAGACCGGGAAAAAAATACTTCTAATACATCTGAAAAAGGAACTCTACATACAGCTCAGTAAGACAACCAAAAAAATTTAAAAATCAGCTAAATATTTATTTGTTTATTTACTTAAAGGATTTTATTTATTTGTCAGAGAGAGAGCGAGAGAGTGCACAAGCAGGGGGAGCAGCAGGCTGAGAGAGAAGCAGGTTCACTGCTGAGCAAGGAGCATGATGTGGGGCTCCATCCCAGGACCCTGAGATCATGACCTGAGCTGAAGGCAGACGCTTAACGTGCTGAGCCACCCAGAAGTCCCTAAAAATCAGCTAAATATTTAAAAGACAAATAAATGGCTAATGAGCACACACAGAGAAGCTTAAAATTGTCATCATGGAAATTCAAATTAAAACTATAATGAGATACACACCCATTAGAGTGAATATAATTTAAATTTCTGGCACTTGGGCACCTGGGTAGATTAGTCGATTAAGTGGCTGCCTTTGTCTCAGGTCATGATCCCAGGGTCCTGGGATTGAGCCCTGCTCAGTGGGGAGCCCGTTTCTCCCCACCCCCCACCTGTGCTCTCTCTCCATCAAATGAATAAATAAAATCTTAAAAAAATATTGTGGGGGCGCCTGGGTGGCTCAGTTGGTTAAGCGACTGCCTTCGGCTCAGGTCATGATCCTGGAGTCCCGGGATCGAGTCCCACATCGGGCTCCCTGCTCGGCAGGGAGTCTGCTTCTACCTCTGACCCTCTTCCCTCTCGTGCTCTCTATCTCTCATTCTCTCTCTCTCAAATAAATAAATAAAATCTTTAAAAAAAAAAAAAAATATTGTGGTGCTCCCAAGGGCTGGTAAGGATATGGAGTAACTGGAATTCTCAGATATTCCTAACATATTTTATAGTGGTGTAACCACTTTGGTAAACTGTTTGGCTGTTTCTTAAGGAGTTTTATATATTTACATACCTTACTACTCAGCTATTCAAATCCTAGTTATTTATAAAAGAGAAATGAAAACATCTACCCCTAAGACTGATACACTAATACTCATGCCACCTTTCTTCCCAGTAGCCCCTAACTGGAACAGCCCCAATAACCATCAATGGGTGAATGGATAAGCAAAATGTGGTAGTTCCATATTACAGAATAAATACTCAGCAGTGCAAAGGAATTTACTCTTGATAGGCACAACAACATGGATAAATTTGAAATCTTGCTAAGTCACAGAAGCCAAATACAAAAGTGTATATTCATGTGTGAAAGGATGGATGGCATGAGGAATCTTCTGGAGGTGATAAAAATGTTTTATGTCTTGATTGTAGTGGTTGTTGCTTGGGTGTATACAGCTGTTAAAACTCATCAAATTGAGCACTTTAAATGGATTAATTTATATATAAATTAAGCTTAATAAAACAGTTTACAAAAAAATATGCTGAACAAAAGGCAGCAGACACAGTGTAAACTGTATGAATCCATTTATGTGAAATTCTGGAGATGATGGTTCTGATCTATATTGACAGAAAGCTTAGCACTTGTTGCCTGCGGTTAGGCAATGGAGATTGACTAAGAGGGAACAGGTGTAACAGAATCCTTTGGGTGATTGATAGGCTCTAAATTTTTATTATAGTGGTTTTTACATGAATATATAAACTTGTCAAAATTCATCAAAATTTACACTTACATCGGGAACATTCTGTTGTATGTAAATTATAATTTAATAAGGATGATTTTTTTAAAAAAGGGAAAAAGTATCATGTAAAAGTTGATGTAGAGGCACACAAATGGGAGTGATCAACACTGCCTAAAGATACATGGAAAAAGAGGGATTATTGAGCACTTCACCATTGAAAGAATCAGCAATTCAGTAGGAAGTGGGTACCTATGTCTGCACTGGAGATTGGAATAGAGAATTGTCCAGATACAGATAAAAACAGGAATGGTACAGTGAATAGGCATGTATGTGCTTGTGCTTTTAGTCAAAATGAATTATTGAATAAATTACCAAATCTTCACTCCTGCCTGGCACCATTGGTCATTGCTGGTAAATAGCATGGCTAGGATTGAGACACATGTCTGTTGAACTGCAAAGCTTGCTGTTTTAGTTATCCTACAGGGTGTAAATTTGGTATGTCTCGGGTCTAAGGATTTGTAGGAAATGAGAGGAAAGGTGGTCCAGGGCTAGAACTCTGTAGCATCCTGTGGAGTTTGACCTGTACTCTAGATTCTTTAGAAAGAACTTAATTTCCAGTGCTTTTAACCTAGATATTAAAGCATGATAGAAAAGACGTTAACTTGGTACCCTGAATGTATATTTGTATTATATATTATATAATATTTATAAAATATTCATATGCTTGTACTTAATATATTTGATATTTTATAAAATATATTAACATTTTATAATATAGTTACTCTATATTTTATATTAAGTATACTTTAGTCTTTTTTTTTTAAGATTTATTTTTTTTGACAGAGACACAGCAAGAGAGGGAACACAAGCAGGGGGAGTGGGAGAGGGAGAACAGGCTTCCTGAAGAGCAGGGAGCCTGATGCGGGGCTCGATCCCAGGACCCTGGGATCATGACCTGAGCCGAAGGCAGACACTTAACAAATGAACCACCCAGGAGCCCCCAGTATAGTCTTAATTATATTTATATAAATGGTATTTAAAGTTTTTGTTCATTTTGTATTCTTTTTTTTTAAGTTTTATTTTGTTAGTCACCATACGTTACCTCATTAGTCTTTGATGTAGTGTTCCATGATTCATTGTTTGCATATAACACTCAGTACTCCATTCAATACGTGCCCTCCTTAATACCCATCACCAGGCTAACCCATCCCCTCACCACCCTCCCCTCTAGAACCCTCAGTTTGTTTCTCAGAGTCCATAGTCTCTCATGGTTCATCTTCCTCTCCGATTCCCCCCCTTCATTTTTCCCTTCCTGCTCTTTATTTTGTATTCTTAAAAGCATTCTTTATTACTCATAGAAGGCCTTTGATCATAAAACACCACTTTACTAATTGTTCAGATCTAGGAGCTTTATCTCAAGGCAGAAAGTAATATTTGGCTCTGTCTGCTAGTTCTATGCCTCACACAAGTATCTGGTTCTTTTTTTTTTTTTTAATTTTATTTATTTGCGAGAGAGGGGGGCAGAGGGA